CCCCCCCTTAAAACAATATTAAATCAAACAATAATAATAATAAAATTATTTAAAGATTAAATATTTTGGGAAGAACAAATATCACCTACACTCACAAGAGACCAATATTTGAGCATTTGGTAAGCAATAAAATGGGTCTGCCTGCTGGGGTCACAGATGGTGTGGCATCTTCCTTCTTTCTTTTTCCTGGCCACCCAGGCAGAGCAATCCCAAATCATGCTTACATGCTTCTCTCTGTCATTTCTAGAGTTGAAAGTAGGAAAAGTGGGTAATTTATAACAGATGGATGGGGATCTGAAGCCATTCTGCTGTGAACCAAATGTTAAAGGATGCTAGAACGGCTATGAGTCACCTTTCACAAAACCTCCCATCTTGCTGGAGTGCACAACTCTTGTGAGTGGTCCTGCTCTTGTAAGACCTGAGGCACAGTTTCTATAGACCTGCCTCATGTGTACTGGCCAGTCTTGGGATGGCTAAGCATTGGAGGGAGTTGCTCTGTATTGGTGTCTGAAAAACCTGACAACCCACTATATTAAAGCAGCAGTGTAGAAGAAGCATTTTCAATCTCAAGAGAATGTATGTACCAGATGAACATCATGATCAGAGTACGTCCCAAAAGGATCTTGTATCGGAACAGGTCCAGGATGCTAGCAGCCTCTTTGTAACTCTGTTCAGCTGGTGGCTTAAGTGAAAAAGTGCACTTTGGCTTTCGATTCCTCTTTGCAATGAGGTAGAGGGCATCTTCAGCTTCATTCAGCCGTCTTTGTGAGTACAACCAACGAGGTGACTCAGGAATGAATCTAAAAGAAAAGAACAGACAGTTCATTGGTGGTATTTGGTGCATTTTACTATTTAATATTGGTATTGATAGTCAAATACAATACATCACAAGCATTTATAAATAAACAGACTTTAATCTTTGCTGCCACAAAGAAACAACCATGTAGATACATAGTATACATGTAACTGTATTACAAAATATTCAAGTAAATTTGAATGAGCAACTTTGAAAAATGTGAAAACAAATAGACTGTAGCATTAGACACTGACACAATTCAACTGTGTACAATTAAAACATGATCATAGTATAATTAACACAGCATATGCTAAACTGCTTGGTGAACTTGTATTTCTACAATATATTCAACAACTGTTGATCACAAATACAAAAGTTTTGAATCAGATGCTATTTAACTTTCTTTTTCTCCTCTAGTTGACTTTTCAATATTTTACAAATATCAAAGTAATTTTAAACTGTGACAATGTTTTTAAAAGTTTATACCCACAGTTAACTTGCAATCCTACACAAACTTACCTGGAAGTAATCCCTTTTGACCATACCAGAACCTGCTTCTGTGTCATGCACCATACAGTAACACCTACTACCTTTAGCTAAATGTTGGGCAGTACAAAAGAATGGGCATGGAAAGTTTTGGATATACACACTAGCAATGAAGAGCTATCAAACTGCTGGTCAGTGCCCATACTGCTTCCATCAGTGCAAACTGGAAAGGCTAGTTTACACCACTGTTCGTCTAATGTAGAGCCTGGCTTTCTAATTAAAATTACTTCACAGCTTTATTGATACTATCACCAAATCTGTCTTTCATTTTTCTCCAACATTTGAAATGATTCCAACTTTTAATCTGCATAAGAACATAGCTGAATACCTTGTTTAAAAGAGAAATAGAATATATATCTTGTCTGTCTTTATTGCATTTATTTACTTCATTTTGTATGTGGCCTTTCTCCCAGAAGGGACTCAAGGTGGCTCACAGATAAAGAACGTTAAAAAAAGCAAATGATTTCTAAACAGTGTGAAGCAGCTGGAGGTTTGAAAAGCAATTTTCTTTCATCAGTACACCCACCTTGAGTTGCCATTCCTATTTTAGCACCCTTTGAGGTGGGGTTAAAAAGAGGGTGGAACTTGAAGCCAATGTGGCATAGTGGCTTGAGTGCTGGACTACAACTCTGGAGACCTGGGTTCAAATCCCCACTTGGCCAGGGAAACCCATTCGGTGCTCTTGGGCAATTCACACACTCTAAGCTCTCAGAAAACCTCATGATGGGTTTGCCTTAGGGTTGCCATAAGCTGGGAACAACTTGAAGGCACACAACAACAACAAGAGGGTGAACTTGCTTCTGTTTCTCATGCCAAACCTATACTGTTAGTTATGTAAACCAAGCTACTAGTCTTCTTCAGGGAATTTACATTTTCTTCTTCAGTGAAAGGATGAAGACAGATGTAACATTTTAAGAGTAATGGAAGCAGCTTAATTTAATTTTAGTTTTCTCTCCCCATGCACTTCAACCTCATTTTAGTTTTCTCCTCCCATGCACCTCAACCTCATTGTCCCTGATGCCTGAAAAAACATCCTGCAGGTTTCCTGAGTAATTCAGTCTCACCGTGGAAAAGCCACTTGCGACAGGCACCCATTAGCTACCACTCACCAGACACATGAAGTGAGGTGCAAGATTGGGGACTGATTCAGTAAGCCAATGTATATTACAAACAAAGAATCTGCTCCAAACATTCTTAAAAGCCTGGGCCTATCTTCCTGCTAGCAGCTATCTACCCTAAGCAGCCGCTAGCCTACCTGTAAACAGTAGCCTTTAGATTACTCATTCAGGAAAGGAAAGCTATAGGGTATCTATAGCTTAAACTGCATGAACTTTGGAAATAGGCAGCAACTAACATCAGAGTTTGGGAGAACAAAAATGAGTAAGGATAAAGCAATAATGACCCACAAAGTGCACAAGTTAGAAATGGTGGGAAATGGACAGGATAGCAGCATTTATGAAGCAGATTTAGAGAGAATGGTGAATAAAATCATACAAGGTAACAGTGAGGTAGCCCAGGGCCAAAGTCACCCATAAACTGTGTCAACAGAACAGCATCTGCACCATTCTGGATGCAGTGTTCCCTTATTACTCAGCATTGATAAATTGACATCTCAAATGGTAGGTTCAGTTCTCAAAGTACACCTTAAGAATGAAATTACAAAGGAACCAGAGGAGGACTACTAAAATGAAAGAGTTCATAGGATCAATGCTATAAGAAGAAATTAAAACCATATCCAGCCATTGAGAAACTAAGAACGGAAAGGTGGGAGAGAACGAAGCACTTCTGAAATAGAGGTTAAAGAGAAGGAGGAATAATTCAATTCAGTAATTGCCACAGCCTTTTATGAGTATTACCAGAACAATTTAAAGGTATATAACTTACAGAGAGAGGAGAAAGACTAGTGATCCCTCCAGGTTAACCACAACTGCTAGCATTCTCCAGGAGCGAATGAGATATCCTAACAAAGCATATTGGGCAATTCCCACAGCAAAGAACAGGCCACCAACTGATCCTAACATAAGGCAGATAGGGAAAAATGTTACTGACCATTAGTTATGTCTCCTAGCGTAAGCACTTTCAAAGAACAATGCTGAGCACAAGACAGCTACCTGAACAAAGAAATAAAAACAAAAAATGTAACAGATGGAAGCTGATAGGAATAATTAATAGTCTTTCTGTACTATATTTAACCACTTATGCACTACGTTGTTATGGGAATCTGGTTATACATAAAGAGTAGTAAAAGGCAAAGACAGATACTGCTAGGTGAACATATGATTAACGTTAAACTGATTCCAAGCAAAATTTGACCATACAAGTTTTTATTCAGGAGTAGCAGTTGGAGAGAAAATCTGACAACAGCAAATTCAAACCATTAGTTTAGTAAGTGTAATCCATCCCAGTCTTACAACAAAATTACTAGACATGCAAACTTATTAGAGACATAGCCAAATATTTTTTTCCTAAAAGACCTATGTTCTGACATATAAAGAGTACAATTTATCAGAAACCATATGCCAGATTATTTGTAATACCCCTCCATTCTTGTGCACCTTTACTCTCAAACAGATACTGAGCTTGTAATCCCAGAACTATTTCTGGAATTTTGCTCAAGCTTAGATGTGTGGCATTTGCATTTCTAGAGCTCAGAGCACCAACTCTTTCAACTAGACAATTTTAGGAAGAGTGAGTGTGCTAATCCCTACAAGAGCATGGTCCTGTCAATGGAGAGAGAGCTTGGGTGAATCCGAAAGTAAGTAGAAAAAAGAACAAACAAGCAACCTAGACTGCAGATTTTCTGAAGAAGTCCCCCTATGTGCGTAGTACATACTTCACTCATCCAGGTATGTTGCCATAAAAATCTAATGAGAACAGGATTCATGTGGCATACTTCCAAAAGCCACTGTGCTGGATCCTGATTTAGTGTATAAGGAGAAGGCAGAATGTGTGATGGGGGAAAGGATATGAACTGGGAGAAGGCTGCGCAGAGGCAGCTTAAAGGAAGATGGACAATGAATCCAGAACCTGGAATGAGGGGATTGCAGGGAGGAAGCAAACAACAAATAAGCAAAGACACAGAAGGAACAAAGACTGGAAAAGGAGGAAACAGCAGGAAAAGAGCAAAAAGAATGGAAGAAGAAGAGGTGCAAAGACACAGCAGGAAAAGGAAATTCAGATGTGGAGGGGAGAGACAGAGATGTGTGGCTATGCAGGATTATGAAGACAGGAATTAATCCTTGCAGATTTTTTTTAGGAGGCTGACTCCTTGCATTGCATAGTATCAACCAGTATTGGTAGCCTAAATGATTTCAGTATAGTTGAAACCAGCTTTTTGACAACCTAACGCCTTCCAGATGTGGAGGATGACAACTCCTGGCCTTCCAAACCCGGATGCCCATTCGAAGTATGGATGGTGTCGGTGCTGGAGTTATAGTCCTACACATCTGGAGGGCACCAAGTTGACTGGTTTATGCCTTCAAGGACAGAGAAGATAGAGCACAAAACAACCATGAAGTCTCAAGGTTAAAAAAGGCTTAAAGATTGTTCTTACTGGCCTGCACTTGTGTACCATAAATCTTGAGTAATGAAGTACACATAGGCGGACCTATAATATGAAGCAGCCTTCAAATTTGAATCCAAATTTATATTTGACACTATAATATTAAGTATGACAAAAAAGGGGTAACGAAAGGTGTACCTGCCAAAGCCCAATAAGCAGCGCCCACACATTCATTCAGCAACACAAAAGCCACCAGGGACATTCCACCATTCATTACTCCCACCAAGAAGCGTGAGACTGCAAAAAACTCGTAGGAGGGGGAGAATCCATTAGCAACAGCAAACAGGATGTCAAGGCCAAAACCTGGAAGTCAAATAGAAAGTTTACATTTAGAACTATTCCCAAGAGGTGAACGCCGTTTTGTTTTTCCAAAGTCAGCCGAATGTTGACACCATGAACCCTTTTAATGACAATGAAATCTCTTGCTCAAGAAGGCACATGTAGAAGTCCCTAATGAAAATACAGTCAATGGCTAACTTGTAAGTTCCACAGAATTCCTTGACTGATTCACTTTTCCAAAAAGGAAAAACAAAAAGAAAAACCATTCTTGATAAATTCTAAACAATACTCTCTCTTTTGAAGTTAGTGACTCCAAATCAAGTTCCATGTCTCAAATAGCTTTCAGATGAACGGATAGTGAATATGACCATCCAATTTTAATAGCCATCTGCAATCTCGTGACCATTTCCAGCAGGTTTATCTTTGCCACAGCTTTAGAAACTACCAGCGATTGCCAAAAAA